TTGGGAAGTATTTATTTACAGAAGTAACAGAAATACTTTTAGTGCATTTAGTTCTACTCTATGTCTTCCCCTATGATCACCCCTAACATTTCAAGATAATCTTTTCTGATTTTTGAAGATGACACTTAGTTTTTGTTCTACTTTTTAAAAGATCTTTTATTACTAAATGCGGAAATGTGATTTAATCTCTGAGCCCAGTCAAACTATTAAATAAGAAGGATCTTTTATTTTTGTGATTCTGTAAAATGTAACTACTTACTAAGTTTTGCCTCAGGGTTACTTATCATCTGATATTATATATGCCATGTTTTTATCAGTTATTTATGTATGTGTTATGTGTGTTTTTCAGTTTTTAGAATATCTACCCTATATGCATAGCTATGTTAGAAATTGCTGTATGCTTGTGTTTAAAAGAACATGATTTGTCTACCAAAAGTTATTTTGATTTTTATTAGTTTAGAAATGAAATTATTCACCTTAAAAAAATCTTAAAATTCTTTCTTTTAATGTGGTTTATGGCTAGATTAAATAAATGTCTTTGATCTTGGGTTTATTGTCAGGTACTTGTCAGATTTTTGGAAAGAATCCAATTTTTTATACTGTTATAAATACTATAGCTTTTATATTTTATTTGGTACTGGCTCATTAACCTCAAGTCTTGATTATAATTTTTCTGCATCATTTAGGATTTCTTAATTATTCATTCTAATGACTTCAGTGTCTGCATTGAAGGAATAAAATTGAATAAAATCTTGTCTTCATTATAGAGGAACATTGCTTATACTTTCAAGTTTCTTAGCTCACTTGAAATTTGTGCTGCTGAATAAAACCTCTTAGTGAGACCTTGTTCATATTGGAAAATATACTCCATATATTTGGTATTTATCTTGATAAACTTTGGACCATTTTTATTTAGTACTTTATGTATCTATAAATCTTGTAGTAATCTTCTCTCACAAACTCTTTGCTTACCATTTACTAGTGTCATTTATTGATGTTACTTAGTATTTTCTTGGAAACACCAGGCCCACACAATCAAAATTTATTCGTTTATAAAATACACACTGGGGAACTTTACGTTTGAAATTGCCTAGTCTGCATAGGCATATGACTTAGTGAATTTGCCTTCAACATTTCCTTCCTCTGTATCTTTACAATTTTTACTTTAGCTTCAATTACATTTTGGGCTAGAAAGAAAGTATCTTTAAACCCAGCTCTCTTCTCAACCTAATTTATCATTATAACAAGAGAATAAAAGCTTTTCTCCCTTTTTTTTTTCTGTCTGTCCAACCTCTGAATGTTTCTTTGACTTCCAGCTTTTTGTTTCTTGATTTAGAGGAAGGTGTGGAGGAAGGTAGTGAGTACTAGTATCTCTGCTTTTATTTTCATTCTCAGCCTTCCTTCCTGCTTTTCTACCTAATTAAAAAAAATTTATTCACTTCAAGGCATTTTTGAACTCTTTCTTCTTCTTTGAAACATGTTTTCTCTTTCCTTCCTTCAGAGAAGAGTCTCTTTCATATC